AAATATTGTAGTCACTGTTTTTAGTCTAACTCAGTGTTTCTCAACTGAAGTTTCTCAGAACTTTAAGGTTCTTCAAAATGCCCCTGATGATTCCACGAGAACAGGTGAGATAAGCTAATGCACTTTTGAATTTTTATTTAATTTCATATTCATAATATTACTAAACACTCACGATATATTCTTCGTTATTGTAATATAGACATCATCCTATCTAACCTATTATGTTATTAAAAAAAAGAAGTATTAATTTTTCCTTAAACCAGTTATTCAAATATATATACTATGATATTTATCATGTGAACTACGATGAAAATGAAATGAGAAAGATATGGTATATAATTTTGTTTTTGCACAGGGGTTCCTTGAGACATGTAATTTATTTTAATGGTTATGCAAGAGTAAAAAGGTTGAGAAACGCTGGTCTAACTAGATGTGCCTGTAATATTTGGTGACCATCACGTGATTTCAACATGCTCCTGCTGCAAAACTTGGTGACTCTGACATGATCTGAATATACACATGCTGCAACAGTTTGGTGACCAAAATATGATTTCAACATGCACCTAGTGCAACAAAATAAAGACCTTCTTGTAATACCAGGAAAGCTTGATTTGAATGGGTAAAATATTTGAGTAATTCATAACCTATACTGAGGACAAGCAGCTTGCATGTGGGTAGAGAATAAATTCAGTAAATACACAAAAATAGAAAGAGAAGTGAGATAAGAATGCATTTTCTCATTAGATTTATTCAACCTACATAGCCAGACAATCCTAAGAGAACTAGATTTACCAGAATTTATTATTGACAGACATAATCTTAACATAGGATACATGAATGACACTGTGTTGATGGAAGACCCAGAAAGGAAACAGAAAAAAATGCTCTTGGCCAAAGTAGTAAGGAAAAATAATAAGAAAAGACTTTTATAGTTAAAAATATTTTCTTTTTGTTTTCCAGAATGTGTGGTTGTCAGCAAAAGAGACAGCCCTATGTATGAGTTACATATTGTGGATGTCATAAGTAAGCAGGTATAGATATTTAATTGAGTAGTGTAGTAACAAACAATGAAAACTGTGACACACAAATCAAAAGGTGCATATTATTAGTAAAATTTGTTTTCCAGAAAATAAGCAGCGTATTAAGACACAGGAAAATCTCATTAGAAACAAGGAAAAGAGTGCTGAACTGATCTGTAATATTTAGTCTACTATCTGGCAGTGAATAAAAGAAAAAAAAATAATGAACAGATAGTGTAAGTGGTGCACAAACCCAAAGGCAAATAGGATTTGTGAAAGATATCTTCCAGAAACTAAATAATAAGACAATAAAAATAGCCACAAATCCTTTAGTGTAAATATGGTGTTTGAAGTTTTGAGTCTTTATGTTTTTTCTTAATGTTATTTCCTATATAGTATTTATTTTTATGCTAGGAGTACTAAGGAAGTTATTAGAGCCTAACATATATGCTATTTCTTTTAGTCACCTTATCCTCCAATGTTGTTCTTTATTATTCTGAGCTTGATCACCTCCCATTTTTCCACCACACATAATCAGCTTCCTCTGGATTATGGCTTTCCAATGTGTTTCTCTAGCTTTATTTTTGGGGGGGCAGCTTGGCTCATCTTCTTTGCCACAACTGTATAAAATAGAATATATACAATTCTAAGAGAGGCTTGTTTTGCGAAATGTGTTGCCAAAGGATGGAAGTTTTTTTTAATACTATTGCTCACCCAATACATGGCTCAAGACACACTCAAAGTAGAGGGTTACTGAATTAGATTGTTGTAAGGACATAAAAGGAGGAGGAAGAGGTGTGTATTATGGAGGTATGTAGGATAGATAATGTTTGACTCTAGACTTGAAGAGGTTAAGATTGTTGTGGCTGGGAAAGCATCCTCTTGGAGGTTTGTTCCACAAAGTGACAGTTCTGGGGAAAAATCTTACCTCTTTACCAAAGAGATGTGAAGGGAATGAGGATGATTTGACACCATGTACATGGCATAGTGAGTTCTAGCTGTGAAAGTCTGAACTGGTGGAACTAAGGAATGTAGCATGTCTGGACATTTGCCCTGGAAATAGTGACAGATTAGTGAGAGACCAGCAACATTTTGTTAGTGGGAAAGGGGTAGTAGGGTGGAAAATAATTCATCACTCACAAGGCCATGTTATCAGTTTTTACCCCTGTCAAGTCTGGACAGTGAGGACTGGGTAGCACCAACTCAGATATGGTAGCAATACTCCATTTTTGATCTGATCTGACTTGTGTAATGATAGAGCACAGCAGTAGGATTTAGGTACTTTCTGGAGCAGTACAAAGTCATTCTCCCAGCATCTTTAATGTTGGTATGAATATACATTACATTTGAAGTCTGGAGTGAGCTTCTGTCCTGTCGTGTCCATAAAAATTAATTATAGTGTCAAAAATAATTATAACAATTATAATTATCATTAATATGCTCGTTCTAAACCAATGAGAATCAACTTCACTTTTCTCTTTTACACACACAAACATGTGACATTCTCACTATTGGACAAGCACTTCACATGGACAGGTCATTAACATGCACATCAACAAAAATTTCATCTTTTTTTCTTTTTTCTGGCCATAATAGTAACATTTATCTTTTAGCACTCAGCAAATATTCAACGTAAGAAAACCTCAGACACTTGTATTTTTTCAACAAAATTGTCTGGACACTCATTATTCACATCTATAAAAAAAAATACAAGAAAGACCATATACACGTTACTTATTCTTTATCTTATCATTCTGTCAGATTCTTATTCATATTTGATTTACATTTGACTCCAAACTCACAATTTCACTTTGTATTACCCACTCTCATGTCTCCAACAGCACAATACAAACAGATAATAGATAATACTTGTTTTGTTGTTTCCACCTCTTGCTGTTTCTAATTTTTACGAGTATTTTTGTATATATAAATGTTAGGGTGATTATAATTATTTACTCAAAGCTATAACTCCCCTACAGTGCCAATATACATTTGAGACAAGGAGTCTTATTGAGAGTACAACTATTCATCAGGACCTTTGAATACTCTCCTTATGTTGTATGAACAATATATTTTCTGAAGTGGATTTTATGTCTTCTAAATATTTTCTGAAGTGGGTGTCTAAAAGTTGAATGTCTTTATCAGGCAAGTCCCAACCCATGTCAAGTTAATAGTGTTAATTATACAAATTGTTTGTATATTGGGCATTAAAGACAAAAAAAAATCTTATGGCTCATTTTTACTTGTAGGTTTAAAGATGTGTAAAGTGATCATAAAACTATTGTTTGTTTTTTTTTTACCACAAGTCTCTTTAGTAACTTTTTTCTTTTGTAATGAGAACATTCTATAAAAAAATTGTCAGAATTTTGAGTGTTTATCTTTTCACTATTATACATTTTAACAAGTGATATTTGCAGAAATACATGATAACCTAATCTAGAGATGGAATTTGATAGGCTTTACTTTACAAATGTGCACATGATTGTTCCCTAAACTTAAACCTGATCCTGATAGTAAATGAACCCACATAAAAAAAAAAAATCAACCATGACTCATATTACTTGAATTTATATTATTTTGTATGCTTCATAGACTTCACAAATGCAATATCATATTTAAAATACAATAACACACAAAAAACTTTTTTTTTTATTTATACTGATTTTTTTTTAATTTAAACTAAAAAAAAGAAAGTATCGACCTATCAGATGAGCCACGGCCTCACTTTTTGGTTCTTCTATTTTTACAATATTTTAATTGCCAGAGGTTATGCTGCAGTTGTTAACGTGTGTAAACATTCGTGTATTTTATTCTAAGTTCGAACCATTTTCCGGTAATAACAGTAATATCATATGTACTAAATGAGCCAAGCACTATACCCCCAGAAGTAGTCGAGGTGTGGACTGTAAATGAGTTGTGCGGCGATTCAGGGATGGAGTCCCGAATGACGTCATAATGCCAAATGACATGCGCCGTGGAAACAAAGATGGCGAATAGCGGAGCAATATGGCTACTGTAAAGAACTTCGGCTGCATCGAAAGTAACTTATAAATAATGTTGGAACCAAGCTGGACTATCGTTTATTGTACAAATTATCCAACATTTGGCCGATAGTTGCCTTCTTTCAGGATGATTTAACGCTTCCGCGTCGAGATTTCGGCAGGAAAGAAAAAATTCTTTTAGTTTATTTTTTTTTGTTTTGTGTTGGTTGCTTTGGCGTGAGTTGTGGAGAGTTACGTTGATTAAAACTAAAAGGACGTACCCTACCCACAAGTTGAAAGAGAAAAAAATAAGGAATATGTATATACCAAAAGACCGTTTTATTTATAAATATTGTTGAAAAAAATTACGCGTACAGATACTCTTCGTTTACTTTTTGGAGAATTTACATCCATACAAAAAAAAGTACAACTTTTTTTTTCCTTTTTTTTTTTTACAGGGGACCTCATTGCTTCTTTCTGAGGTAGAACCATGTATGTGAATTTGATTTATATCTATGTTACAGGTTACATAAATTATCAGTCCGATATATGTATATAATGCTGATCATAATACAAACCTTATGGACTCCTTTATGAGGTGTTTAAATCCACCAAAAAGATATAAATAAAATAAAAAAAAGTTTGGTCTGTCGTCACCCCACTTCTAACTTGATTGAAAACAAAGTAAAACTGAGACTGTATATCCGCTAAACAAACGTGTGTGTGTATATATATATATATATATATATATATATATATAAAAATATATTTACAGCACTTTATAGATATATATACACATACACACACACGCACCAGTTTCTTGTTTGGATTTTGTATCCATGTGTATAAGCATACCTTTTTGTGACAGATCAAATAATTATCAATGTCCTCACATTCCATCATCAGAGGTAAATACTAGTGACCAGAAGAAAACATCCATCCAAGTATTATTATTTTTTTGTTTACAATATTTGTACAACTCGACTCTTACGAGGACATAATGTCTTTCTTTAACAACATCAAAAAGATCTTCCGTCTGAGTGGAGCCGATGAAGATCTTAAGAAAAAGAAAAACATCCATAGTTGTATAAAACGTGATGTCGACCCTAACGTATCTTGGGACATTATAGGCGAATTAGGAGATGGCGCTTTCGGTAAAGTCTACAAGGTTAGTACTCTAAATAAAATATGTTTTTATTATTGTTATTATTATTAATAATAATAATAGTACCTATTAATTAATAAGTGTGTACTTAACTATTGAGAGCGTATTTGTTGTATTGGTGAATCTTGATTCCTTTAGTGAGTTTAAAAATATGAACTCTGTTGCAGTTTTGCGGCTTTGCCCCATATAATTTTTAATTTATCCAATATTGTCTTTTAAAAAAGTCATTTCTGCAGTTATTTTTTTATTTGCAAAATGAAGATTGAAGAATATATTAATGTCGAAATTGCATGTTACTGAGTTACTATAAAAAAAAAAAAACATGTTAAGAAAAATGAAAACAAAGCCATCTTATTCCGTCGCATCCTGTTTTTGAAATTTTAGTTCAGTACATTAATTTTTTACTGAATCTTTTTTTTTAAATGTCATTTATGATTTAAAACAGAAACTCGTTCTCCAGTTTTTAAATAGGTAAACAACAATCACTAAAATACCCATGATGCACACTTCTAAATTGCTTTTCAGCGCTATGACATTTAAAATACTTTTTAGTACGAGAATAATAGACATTGTTTAATTATTTTTTTGTGTATTGTGAGGGAAATGTAGGCTTTCTAATTTCATTGGAAGAATAAGGACTGTTTGAAATATTGAAATTATATTCTATAGTTGCACCTTTTGCAAGAAATCACTGACTGGCTTGTGTCTGCTACCATGTGACCTGATGATGTGATCACATTTTTAAAATTCTCTTCATTTATTTATATTTTGTTTAGATAATATTTATTTTCTATTTTTGAAAAAAAACAAAACACGTACTTCCAAGTTGTCCGCTTAATCTTATTGCCACAAATAAATAAAATGCAATAAGCCACCAAGATAAAATGTTTTTTTTTCTTCTAACACCTGATCATAGAGATTCATTTCAATTCTTTCCTAAAATTATTTCTTTTGAAGCTGTGTCATCTGTCTTGTCTTTCAACCAAATACCTTCATTGTTTTTTAGTCAAGTAGTAGTAGTAGATCTGTGCAAAGCATGCAAGTAACTTTGTAAACTTACATTGTTCATCAGTCATCGTGTTGTACACTGTGTGCATGATTACACACAGTAAATATTTTTTTAAGGGATTCCTATTTTGGTCTAGCTTTGAAAATGTGGTACTTTTTTTTTTTAATTTCGACTAATGGATTCAAAAATGAAAAAGAAACAACTATAATGAATGTTTAATACTGGCATGACAAGAAAAATAAAAAGCTGAATAAAAAAAAAAAGTATGGTTTTATTATTCCTCTAGTTAAAAAGAAGTTATTTTTTGGATTGGAATAATAGCCCGGGAAGATTACTAACTAACCAAACAGGGTAGGAATATCGTGTTGCACTTGTTTTTAAAAATCATTTATTTGTAACACTGGCTTTTTCCTGGATTTGAACATCGAAAAATGGCTCCAATAAGAAATACTCGTTCAAGCACGACCTAAGCCATCATTCATTTCAGTGGATAGTAGTTGCTTAAAAAAAAGCGTGTGATTGAATGTTGAGTCAATGATTGCCAAATATAATAAAAAAAGTTGAATGATGTGTTTTTTGTTTGACTTAAAGGTAAACCGCGTATATAGCCACACCTTTCTTGTAGAAAAAAAAATCAGGTTGTTTTTCTTCTAGCGTCTCCCAAGTTCTTTATTTTTTTATTTAGGTAATTTTTTTTTATTTTCATTAATAATAAAAATGATTCTTTCTCGTCTCGTGAATACAAAAAAATTCAAACGCTCATGGATCTGATGGTCATCAGTTCTAACGTTACCGTTGACTAAAAAAAAAAAAGTTAAAAGAAAAAAAAAAAAAAAACAAACCTTTATGATTTATTTTTAACAGGTAAAAAAATATGTAAAAAAAAAATTGCAAATATTCAGTCAACACGATTCGAAGTGACGATGACCAAGAATTGCCAACACTAATTGTTTGAAGTGAAAATTGCTCGGTTACGGTAGTAAATTTATTTTCATGGCATATTTATTATTGAAAATGAAGCGCAGATGTTAAAAACGTACACAACAAAATAATAATGACAACTGGTAGACACACCTGTATTTCTCGTCTACATTTTGGGTCATCATTGTCAACTGAGATGATTAAAAAAAATATTCTACCTGGCTGATCTCGTCATCTAAGTTGTGGGGAATATTTTTTTTTCTTACTGAGTTAATGAAAAATAAGTCTCTCTCATGGTTTAGGGGAAAATATTTCATTTTTTATTTCACTTCCTAGTGTTTGCAAAAAATAAAAAATATATTGTAATTTTATTTTAATTTACTAATGTTTGACAGTTAAAACAACAACAACAAAAAAACACGTTTATGTACCCCCCACACCAACCATCTCTGTTGAAATTTTTAAAAATAATTAAATAACCAATTTGATTTAATCAAGGAAGAAATAAAACTCGAAGTGCACTGGCAAAAAGCAAATTTCTACGTGCATTACGGATATGTCAGGATTGGGGCAGAATTTAGAAAAAAACGTGACAATTATTTTCAAACAACTCTAGATTCGATGTTTTGTTGTTTTTATGGACAGTGAGAAAAACTAAAAGCTATCCTTAACTAATTATAGAGGAAGTTCTCTCTATTGTACACACACACACACACACATGGGACAACACAGATTTGAAATCGCTATCCTGTTCAGTTATGAGTGCGTCGAGCACGCAACTCCGACTCATCTAGCAATCGTGATGAATTAAAAATACATTCTCACAAGGGAAATGAGTGGGAAATGATGACTTTGTTGCTCTTGTACTGACCACTTGACAACTTTGTTCTGAATATGACAGTGGGTTGGTTTAGAAAAGGGTTCTCGTTTTAAGGAAGCAACTCTTTTTCAATTACAAATCATCTCTACAAGAGAAGTATTTAGGCTTATTAGTGAGTGACTCAGGAAAAACAAAAATACGATTTATATTGTTTGCATAATTTCATTCATCTTAATTTCTGTTGCCTTTTGTCGGATCTTTGAGCAACGAGTGTTCGACATAAAGAATAAGCCTTCAGCGAGAGTTGAACTCTGATACTTTATCTTCAGGAGCCTACTTTTCCGTGGTGGTACCTTACCGATTTTAGGTTCTGAAGGCCAACCAATAGGAGTCATTAAATTTAGCACTATTTAATTCTCTGAACACTTCACGCCACCATCTTTTGTTTATTGTTTACATTTTACATTAAAAATGTAAGCGTTCAAATATCTTGAAGCATTATTGTCAATTATTAATTTTTGACTGGTATTTTTCCTCTTAATTTCTGTTGAATTTTCTCGCAATGTCCAGATTGTATTTCTGTAAGTAAACCGCTCTAATTGGAAATAGCAAACACTAGTGTGATGTATGGTTCCAGGTTATTGTAAATTTCACTTGACAAAAATATGTGTTATTAATCATATAGTTTAATTATAGTTTAGCCAAAACTTGATATACTATGAGATTTTGTTTGCATAGAAATTCCCTAAATTAAAAAAAATTGCAAGAGGTCTGTTCATTTTGTTGTATGCATTGTTTTGTCAAAAATAGGAAGACCAAGTATTATGAAAATGTTAAAACTTGCATTGCAATCATATGGCATAACTTCATTTAAACTGACATTGTTGTCTTTAGATCCTTACTCATCATTAAAGTGGTGCTCTCTGCCAGTCAACAGGACATTTGTACCATTTAAAAGATGATGCACACATGAAACTGCTTTAAGGAAAACATGTAATGTTTCTTGACTCGGCAGTAAATGTAAAGGGCATTGCCATCACACTGATTACAGTTAAACAATTTTTATCATTCTTTCATAAAAAATGTGAAGAAAGAAAATCCATTCATTGTTTCTTACAGTAGAAAGCTTTTTTATTCAAACATTGAAATTCTCATTTCACTTCCTTATTTCATGTGTTGATTAATATTTGATATGCTTCTTTAGTCATTATTGATTTTGTTTGTCATGGTTGGTTAGTTGTAGGTTGGAGAATTAGAAAGTTAGTTACTTACCAATTACTATTAGCACAAACCATTCTATTCAACACTTTTTTCCTCCATCTGTAAACAAAGCAGTCTTCCTTCCTCCATTATAGCTTCAAGCCTAAAAAAATAATCTGTTCAGAGAGGATTAGTTTAGCCACCATGATTACCTTTTTGTTTTTAAAGCAATCATTATAGACTTTGTTTTGTTATCTTATGTTGTTTTGCTTTATTGTCATATTTACTTTGTTCTTGATATGTAATCGAGTATTTCTGAGACATTCAGAGTAGGTTATTTGGAGGAAAACTGAAACTCAATTTATAAGCTTACTAAAATATATTCATTAAATTATGAACAGTAAAAAGGAATCTTTCAAAAGGATTTATCTTTTATTATTCAATCAAGTGAAATGAAATGTATGTCATGAGTCTGCCTTGCATCATTTTTTTTAATATTGTATGATTTTAGTTATTTCTTGCAAAGCTATTTACTTCTAATAGTAATAATAAGGTAATAATATTTCTGTCATTTCTCTGCATAAAATCTTTTGTTCATTTCATCTATTTAGATGTATCAGAGGATGCCAAGAAATTCTTGGCACAACCCAATTCCCAAAATCTGACCAAATATCATAAAAGTTGTTTTTCTATTCTTCACAAATCTTTTTTCGGTTGGGCCAAGAACCTTTCAGCACTCCTTTGTATTATAGCTGGTTCAATAGCTTGTTGATCTCTCTTCATATGAAGTTTATTATTTGCATTCTATACATCCTAAAACTAATGCTCACAGCTTTATTTATTGCAAATCAGGAATCTCCGCTGGAAGATTAAACAGAACTGTGGTTCAAATAATCAAACTTCTATGTGTAGAAACCCTTGAAGGAATAATTTTTACATATATATTTTTTCTCATCAAAGTATAAGGCTCATAACTTTGGAATATGTGTTGGTTATTTTTACTGTTAAACTTTTCAGATGTTCATCAAATAAGACTAATTATTTTCTGTAAAC